GTGCAGATTTTTTTACTGAAAGCCGGCGGGCAAAGTTTATAGAGTCTATAGAAATTTGGCAACCTATTGAATGGAGTTGAACTGAGAGAGCGTGCCGTTCACAGACACCAGAATGAACGAGTTCACAATAACGTTCATCAGGCAGTAATACAGTACGTTCAGTTCACGTTCGCCCAAAATATGAACGAGTTCATGAACTTTCGTTCAATGAACGCGTTCAGGCACAACACTGGTAGAGGGCATGCGCGAGATGATTAAATTCAAAGCAGCAAAACATGCGGAAATTATCAATGGTTTGCGCGAATCATTAAAAATAATTACAATTCATTAATTTGTTTTTATTTTATCAATAATTTCATTAAAAAATTCATTAATTTTTACTAATTTTTTTATTTTTCGATGTAACAATAAACATATACCGAACCGAAAACCGTAACCACGAAACCGTGAACCGAACCGAACCGTGGATTTTGTGAACCGTTCCACCCCTAATATATATATAATCATAGTTTTGTTCTCCATTATGTGTATAGTTGTACACATTTAAAGTCTCTTCTTTGTCTAAATTAACATTGCTATCCATTGTTTACTGCTATAAAGCCAAACACACTTTTGTATACAGAAGTAACTTTTTCTCTCAAAAACAACTCAAAAGGCAGAAATAGTTCATATATAAGATTTTAATTTAAAATCCAATTTCTCATACATTTTTCCAAACATTGATGAAAATGGGTTAATAACCTGCAATATGCTCTTTAATGGAGCTTATCTGCCTATGTGTTTGCAGCCAGATGCTGCAGATCTTCTATTAGTCTACTGTGGAGAGTCTGATCTCTTCCTCCATCATCTGCTGGGGTAACAGCATCAGAGCTAATGACTTAGGAAAAGCTCAACCAGCTGACAAAGAAGGCCGGCTCTGTTCTAGGAACTCCTCTAGAACCTCTGGAGATGATTTCCCACAAAATAAATACTTAATAAATTAAGAAGATTATGGATAATCTTGATTATCCTCTTCAAAAGACAGCAGACCTGCTACAGGAGATCCTTCCTGCTCAATCCTATTAATATCCACCACAACTCATTTACAAAAAGAAAGCCTTCCACTTATGCCATTTATTTTCCTTTTGGGATCAATACAGTCTTTGTAATAAAACTGAAGGACATGTCAGCTTCCTAAATTATAGACGCAGGTATACTATATTGATCCAAATCAGCAGACCAGACTTAGCAGCTATGTCTCCTGTTTATCCCAGCACTGCGGTTCGACCCGGCACTGTGTGTCCCGAGCCCGTAAGATCATCAATAACCCCTAACACCCCACACCATGGACTTTTTCCCCGCTGCCATCAGACAGTTGAGCTGTTGTAAGACACACATCCCTTTAAATAGAATTCAACTCATTGTTCTTCTGCATTTTGCCCCATATTTATTTTTTATTTTGCCTTGCACTGAACCTTCCATATCAATGTCTTTTGCACTATGTCTTTAAACTGATTTTTCCTTTTCTCTTACACTGTTTACATTTTGATCACTGCTGCACTTATAAATGGAAATGTTAATTTCATTTATAAGCTGCTCATTCCCTGTTGGAAAGCTGCATGCATCGAAATAAAGTTTGTCTAAGTCTATGTCAAATTACCCTGAGGAAGCCATCTGCTACTCTTTTCCTTGTCCCTGCTCTCAGCTTTCTTCTGTGGAATCTAGTGGATCGATCTGACTGCTCTGTATACCATAATAGGAGCGATAAATTGCTGGCTAGTATTTTTTGGAGATATTAGCATTTTGTTCCTGTAAAGGTATCAGCCAATGCGTGCAAGTTTTGGCCGATTCATTAGTGCATCCATCAGACATACCTTGATGACACGAGAAGTGCATATTTCTACTCACTACATTTCCTGGAGTAAATATTTTTCCACTATTGTTGCAAGCAATCAATATGTACAATAAATATAGATAAAAGAAAAAAGCAACCCAGAAATAAAAAAATGGAAAACCTCTTAATGAAAAAAAAAAAAGGTTTGTGAGTTAAATTTTGCAGATTTTAATATATATTTCAAGAAAATAATTTCAGATTTTATTCTTCAAATTTCTGTTTTTTTAGAGAGAGTTCCTGAAATTGCATTCTTTTTTAAATTGCAGCTTACTGATCACCTGTCTTCACTTATAGGTACAGTATGAATATATACATATGTATATTCATTCTATAATACTGACAATATGTTGAATTTGTTTTTCAGTGAGGCTGCTTCAAATTGACATATGTCCTAACAAAATGGCTGTGATCACAACAATGTCTTTTTAATTTGAAGAATGTATAAAAACGATGTTTTTATTCATCTCACACCAAACCCTATGTACAGCAGGGGGCGGTAATAACCTGTTGTTTGCAACCAGAGAGAAAGAGGAAGAAGTGTAAACATGGTGGCTAGGCTAATGGCTAGCAGATCACAAGCTATCTAATTCATAATGTAAGATTCACAATGTACTGCCCTTTTTGGAACATATGGTTACATTATCAAAGCAAACACGGAAAAGTTTTGGTTGTAACGCACATTTACAGCGACATACATCAACATTACTTTTTCATGACTGCAAAAATATCTTGTTAATAAAACCAAATTAGGATATTCAGCGCCCATGTAGGACCTTTGACGAAGCTGGCATATACTGTTTTTCAACTGGCATAAGCCGATTCCCACCTGGTAAATGCCAGTTGGTAACTGGCATTTACCTGTTGGAGCTCCTGAACCAACGGGTATATGCCAGTTGGTAACCGGGGTTTGGGTTTTTAGTTTGCAATGTCTCTGAACTCATTTAGATGGATGTGATGCCATCTACAGAGAATTAGTCTTTTAGCCATCTAGCTTCTCTCCTGTTCTTGCCAAACCTATACTTTAACGACCAAAAAAAGTACAGTTGAGCTTGAAAGTTTACATAACCTTCCATTAAAAACAAAAAAAAACAAGTGTTAGTAAAATAATTATAAATGAAACATAAAAAAAATTTAGCCATGACATTGATTTTTAATGTATATGTATAGAAAACATATGTATATATTAATAAATAATCAAGTAAACAATTCTGATGGAGCTCATGACCTAAAATGTTGAGAAAAAAAAACAAAAGCAATAATCGCTGAACTCAGGTGTTTTCTGTAATGATCAGAAAACGTTCAGTCACGGTTCCTGTTGGCAGGGATGTTGGTTCACTGTTCATCAGCAATGTACTTTAATTTATCTGAGACTGTTTTTTTTTTTAAATAAAAATAATTTACCGGTATTAAAGTAATTATGCCATTTTCTTTAATAGGAGGGTTTGTCAACTTTCAAGCTTAACTGTATCTGTAGTGGGCCGCTATGCTCAAGTTAGCTGACACTGAAATTAGGGCAAATACGCTAATTTGGGTCAATACCCCCAAAAAGCGCTCACATCGGAGGCAATACACCCTCTACTGGTTGATCTTTACTGTAGACACTGGAATTATTGTTTTTTTGTTTCTAAAAATTGTTTGGCTAAAATATTTATTAATGGTCCCTAATCAACCCCCGTATGGTGGTGGCAATATACCCTGATTAAACCCTGGTATGGTGGTGGCAATATCCCCTAATTGAACCCCCATACAGTGGTGGCAGTCTGCCCTTATTTAACCCTGGTATGGTGGTGGCAATATCCCCTAATTGAACCCCCATACAGTGGTGGCAGACTGCCCTGATTGAACCCTGGTATGGTGGTGGCAAACTTTAGAGCAATGACACACAGTGTCTCTTTTCTCTTTTCACTGAAAGCACAGTCAAGATGTAAACACTTCACACAGAGGCCGGGTGCCGCCCCATTGGCTGAGGCCACCCTCTGACCTGGATATTGTCACTTTATGCTTACTTAAAAACAAATATTTAAGACATTCTTTCATATAAAATAATAAAAAAAAATCTGCATGATTTTTGTTAGCAATTTAATGTTGTTCATGTTTAGATTTTTGAATATGGTTTTATTTTTTATCTTTAATGAGTAAACTAATGTTTGATTAAATGTAAATGGTGGCCCAACTAGAGGGCTTCAAGCTAAAGCTCCAGCTGTCAGGATTACTACCAGTTCAAGAGTTTCAATTTTCAATAGAAAACAAAATCCACAAAGGGAAAAATACGTACCTTTGCATATTCAATTTTCAGAGTGCAACAGCCAGAGTAGATGTCTGCTCCATTTATAGAGGCTTTAGCCCTCTGGGCACTCTGGACCGAATCAAATGTAGGACTTCATGTTAAGGTCCAATAATAGGTTAAAAAAGAATGGAATTAATGATCATTAGTGTAATATCCAACTAGGCCTGGGCAAAAAAAAAAAAAATTGGATTCAATAATTGAATTCGATTTTTTGGTTGTGGGCGATTCAAAAGAAAGAGAAAAAAAGTATATTTTTTTTAAATCCTGTTTGTGTCATGATCTGGCCTGTTTGCTCTCCCTTAATTAGTCATTCCCTTCACCTGTCGTTTTTCCCTCCCTGCCTTAATTATAATTTATTCCTCTCACCTGTTTCCTGTTGGTTATATTCAGTTCAGCCTATACCCCTTGAGAGGGGTGAAATCCAGCCGATGGGCTGACAGCTGACGCGGCTCGCGTCACCCAGAGTGTCCGGATCCAGGACATGAGATATGAACCATGAACTAAAACTGAACAGAACGACTAACAAACAAGTAGACAAGAAATGATCTGGCACTGAATGCTCAGGCTGAACTGTATATAACCAACAGGAAACAGGTGAGAGGAATAAATTATAATTGAGGCAGAGAGGGAAAAACAACAGGTGAAAGGAATGACTAATTAAGGGAGAGCAAACAGGCCAGATCATGACAGTTTGGCTGTGACTTCATCCTGGAGAGAAATATCAGCTGTACTCCTGCCATTTAAAACTTGTTTATAGATGTTGAAGTGTGGCCTGTTTTTCAGTGTAGTCCTGTTTCTCTGACTGTGACTAACTAGATGTGCGTCCAGATAACTAACAAGTTAGCTGTTAATAGAAGCACAGCTGCCAATAGGGGGCAAGGTACTGATGTGCCCCCCACATAAACAAATATATGGTGACCCATTTGCACTTATTGTTTTCTTAATAATTATGGGGTAAAAAAATCAGAAGAAAATCCTAACTCTAATTAAAAATAAAAAAAAACAGAGATTTTATTTTTTTTTAGGCCATATTGCCCACCTCTACATCAGACTGTGTGAAACATGAACAGAACATCGCCAACAAAGAAAAGTTCACATGTTGAAAAGGATATTCCACCATGGCTTGAACACCATTCTTTCTGAAGATCACAATCCTCTGCACAGGGCCACAGTTGTTACAAATAGTGTAGAGGACGTCCTGCAAGACACAAAGAAAGTTCAACAAGTTTTCATGATAAGATTTAACATGAATATGGTAAAAAACAGGCAGCACGTTCTGTCTGAAGAAACTGTCCTTAAGTTGGTTCAAATTTATTGGAAGCATGAGTTGCTGTAAACACAAACAGACCATGTTTAACCTCTCTTAATACATCCCAAAAACCCATGTCTCTCTGGTACATGGGGTTATGGACCCTACTTAATGCATTACTTCCACTGGAAAGGTGCTACAAACCCCTTTCTTTTGCAACATTTCTGTATGCTGTCCCCCCATGACTGCATTTACATGCAGCCACAGGGGAACAGATGCCACACAGCTGCCAGCGAGGGGTTAGAAAACCTTTTATACCCAGAGGGAAGGGAGCCAAGTGCCGACTGTTACCAAGTTAACCCATGTTTGAAAAACACGTGAATAGGCATAGGGCTAGATAAAAAATTTATGCCATATTAATTTGGCTTTTCTAAGATTTTTGTTTCCAAATAACATACATATCAGAATAAATTATGTTAAAAAATATTATACTCAGACTTCAATTCATTGCTACGAAATATGAGAGAAAATGGCGCTCTACATGCCTACGGGAATCCTACCTAGTAAATATATATAGGATTAGACTTAGACTGATGCTATGTTGAGACCGCACGCAGCAGAAATGGCAAAAACGGACCTGCTGCTTCATTTTTGAGGCTTCTATAAGTTTAGTTCTGACACGCGGCTAGAGCAGCAAAGATGCCTCAGCTGGTCGAAAATTGGGTCGAATGGGCGGAGCTACCCAATGCTTTCTTTACCTGTAAAATGGCAGCTATATTTGCTGTGATCAGTTTAAAAAAAAGTAGTTTTAATATGTTTTTAAATGAGAAAGTCCACCTGAAAATTTGATCCATGCAGTCAGTTCATTCCAGATTACCATTCTGCCTCCAAATATTATTTCTCCGTTGGAGTCGCTCAGACACCCTTACACCGCCTGACCCAGTCGCCTCTTTGCGGTTTACCGCTACTGTTCACGGCGGCTGGAAGGCGTTTTTCGTACGTAACCCAAACTGCACGCACCAGGATAATAAAAGCAAACATATTTTGCCAGCAAGTTTCTACATTTGAAGTTAATTTAGGCGTTAATGAACTGTTTCAGAGGAGTGTTCATAGTGATCTTCATCAGCGTTGCTGTGTCTGTCTCCCTGCCAGCTCCTAGATCAGCTTTTCTGATTGCTTGATGTGGCGCATCACGCAGCAAAAGTTCAGTTTTTCCAACTCTAGCAGCTGCTGCTTCTGAAGCGCGTCAGATGCTCAGGAGCTCATGAGGCGCTGTTTCGGAAGCTCAGACTCGCTGCTCCTGAAACGCGCTGCTGCGCCTTGATGTGCGTCAACCATTGAATTTGCATTTAAACTAGCTGCTTCTGCAGCATGCGGTCTGAGCGTAGCATTAGAGAGCTTTTATTGTCATTTTGTAAACACAGAGTGTATACAAAACGAAATTTAGTTTTGTACGGCTTTCATGACATTTCCATTTTTTAAGGTGCAGCAGTGATCAAATGTAAACAGTGTGGGAGAAAAAACATGTTACAAAAAATGCATTGCTGTGTTAGTTCAGAGCAATTAGATATACAAGGTGCAACTATGCAGTGTTTTGGTTTGGTGTTATCAGTGTGATGCAGAGTCTGTGACAGGATTTAGAGATTTTTCAACAGTTCAGCAATCTGATGGCAATCGGGAAAAAGCTGTTGCGGAATCTGCTGGCCCTGCATTGAATGCTGCAAAGCCTCTTCCTAGAGGGCGGCAGGGAGACAGTCCAAGGTGGGGGTGTGAGGGGTCATTGATAATGTTACGGGCTCGGGACACACAGCGCTGGGATGAAATGTCTTTAATGGAGGGAAGAGGAGCCCCGATGATCTTCACTGCTGTTCTCACTACTCTTTTCAATTTCTTCCAGTCTGCAGGGGTGCAGCCTCCACACCGGGCAATGAGATAGCTAGGCAGAACGCCCTCTATGGTGCTTCTGTATAATGTTGTGGGGATGGGTGGAGGCAGGTGGGCTCTCTTCATCCTCCGCAGGAAGTAACTGCTATAGACTTAGACTGCTGGAGGACATAGGGACCCCTTTTCATCATTCTATCTCTATTCTCCCATTGTGCAGCACTGGATAGTTCAATCTCTGATGTTCTGCTCTCTCTGCTTTTTCTCACCATAGGAGCTTAATCTGGTCTGACCAAATCCTGCATTAAAAGCTGCATATTTTCCTTAAGGTGGTTTTAAATATACATACAAAAAATGTTCAATAATAAGTGTAAAATAAAGACTTAAGTTGTCAAACACCATTATACAAATGAAAATGATCTGTGTGTAAATTACCGTGGTGATGGGATAGATGGGGTTTAAGATTGTGAGCAGCAGAACGTTGTTCACACTCCTACTGTCATCCGGGTCTCCAGGCCGAGAGATCTTTTGACTGGTGGAGTAGTTGATGAAAGCAGGATGGCCTGCAATATAAACCTGGTTTTCAGCTGCATAAGTAACAGCATTGCAGGAACCGTTCATATCCTCATACTCCACCAGAGCCTGGCGCTTCTTGGGCATCATGACAACATAGCTGAAAGGAAAGAAGGCACATTTCTGTATTTAACCGAATGAGTGAATGAGAGAAGTTTTAGGGATAAACCACTTTTTTGTACAAACTCATCAAAAAATTATAACTTCAAATACATATTTTTTTTTTTTAATTGGAGTATTTTTAGGCCATATCGCCCAGCCCTGCCAAATGTATTTATAATTGTACAGTCGTGTAGCACATTCACCACCAAAGCAAAGTCTTTGTATTTAAAATACATTAAAATAATGCTTTTCTTCCCAGATTTTGATGTTTGTTCTCAAAAACTGGAAAGCAAGAAAAAAACATATTTGTATATATAACTTGTTAAATTCTGATAACATGGGTTCTTACCTGATTGTCCCAAACTCCTGCAGGGCCTCCACCAGGTCCGCCTCCATGATACCATCTGCCAGTCCCCTGATGTGCACCACTGGAGAGGGCAGTGGTTTGTGAGGGTCATCATAACCTTCCTAAATAGATTTAAAAAAAAAAAATAGATTTTTAAACAAAAGTAACAAATTGATGTGCAAGAATGCATGACATCTGCAAATTGTCCATTTATATTAATTACAAGCAAATATAAAAACACAAAAATAAGTGTATAAATGTGTTATTGACAACACTAAGATTGGCAATAAACCAGTTCATCATGTCTGATCATTAGCAGAGAGGTTAAAATCACAGGGAATATTTTATCCATTTGATTTAGAACTGAAGTTTGGTAAAAGATTGTTTTGAACAACAGCTGTCCGCATCTAACCAGCTGTTTTAGCTTTAGCACCAAACTGATTTATAATTTCACAAACGAGTCCTTCCCTATTGGAAATCAAAACAGGTTGTGCTTTAACATGACCAGAAAAACAACAGTTCAGACAGAAATAGATCCTTTGTTTTGGGACACACGCTAGAACTATAACTCTATGTGCAAAATAGCTAGGTTAGCTAACGCCTGCTACACCCAGTGTCCGATATAGAATAGAAAATAGAATTCAACTTTATTGTCATTGCATTGTTACAAGTCCAAAGCAATTAAATTCACTCTCTGCATTTAACCCTTCCCTTTGTGATATTCAATATTTTAAACAGCCATTGCTACAACAGAACGCGGCTACGAAAGTTCAGATGGTTTGAACTGCAGAGGTACAAACCAACCGTCGTCATGACGCCTTCTTCAGTTTTCTGTCTTTTCGTCACTCTGTCGCTTTCGCTGTAATATCGGGATGCAGCAGCAGCCATGTTTGTCGGGTCCACTGGTACTGCATATGTAGAGCAAGGGGCGGGGACGGACCGCTGCCAGGCTCATACCTTATATGGACATCCTCTCCGGAAATGAAGGGGGCGCTAGTGATACTTTTTCCTGTAACAGCAGCGTTTATAAATATATTATAAATAATAACAACGCATTTTATTTGACAACGCATTTGAAAACACACAAGAATACTAAAGAGGATTAGAGCCACTGAAAAAAAAGAATTTTTTTTTACTGATTTTTACATTTTATTTCAGTTTAATATGGGGGGGGGGGTCATAATTCTGAGATTTAATCCAGAATTCTGAGATTAAAGTCAGAATTCTGAGAAAAAATTCATAATTCTGAGATTAAAGCCAGAATTTTGAGAAAAAATTCATAATTCTGAGATTTAATCCAGAATTCTGAGATTAAAGCCAGAATTCTGAGAAAAAATTCATAATTCTGAGATTTAATCCAGNAATTCTGAGATTAAAGCCAGAATTCTGAGAAAAAATTCATAATTCTGAGATTAAAGCCAGATTTCTGACTTTTTTCCCCATATTAAACTGAAAAAAAATTTTTAAAAATCAGTTAACATTTTTTTCCCCCAGTGGCCCTAATCCTTTTCCGTACAGAACACTTTCTACATTAAAAATACAAATTAAACAGTAAAAAAATGGCTACAAAATGGGTTCAATGACAATCCAAAATAAGCAAGAAAAAGGAATAATTATGGAGATATATTTATCTATTACAACCTATCTATACCAAACAAAAGCCATAAAACATAAATCAAATTAATAATTTTGAGAGAAATGTACATTACATTAAGAAAGTATTTATCCATCCATTTATTTTCACACGCACGCTTCAGGGCTGGTTTTACTCCCGCAGCAGTGTGTCGCAGTGAGCTTGTCGCAGATATGATGCAGATATTTTTGTTTTATGCCCAATTTTGAAGAATGGTCTGCGCTATGTTTATTCCACGACACAACACAAGAGGGACAATCACAAACTAGGTACGGCCGAGGGGTTGAGGAAGTGGAGAAACGCTAGAGGCAAGTTTGTGCAACAATGGAGGGGCGAAAAAGAGCGGGGATCCAGGTGGAAAAAGGGTCCCAGAGTTCTTGCGCACCTCGCTCTTCTAGCTGGTCCATCTTCACGAGTCGTTTTCCACAATGACGGTTATACAAACTAAACAAGCCAGTAAGGTACCAAACAGGAAATACGCATAGTTTAGAGCGGATGTAGATTTAACCAATCAGAGGCCTCCTGTCTGCGGCACTGTCTGTCACCTACAATTTCGGAGAGGTGCATCAGTGTTTGTGGAAGGGGCGGGGGCGTATCTGCATTGACTGCAACACACACGCAGACGACCTGGTTTCTGAGCATAAATCAGCCTTTATCTCTATAGTGGTGTCATGAGGGCTGCATTGGTGGAACCTTGACAGATCGCCAGTCCATCGCAGATTAAGAAAACAGATATAACCAAAGGTTCCAAGGGTTTTAGTGTCATTTTCACATAAAGATATACAAATCAAAATGTTTGGAGCTGCTAAATGGACAGGTGGCTGGGCTGATGCACAGTTGGACACCATATTGAAAGTCCTTGTCTGGTTAACCAAGTGATTAACAAACCTTTTGAAATCACAGCACTGATTAATGTGACTAATGGCCACAAGATGTCACTGATATCTGCATAATACCGATAGTGAAACCATGTTTCATAGCAGCTGTCTGATGACTTCCCCTCAGGATGCATGAAAGAAAAATGAATCAGTGACAAAATAATCCAATATGACTACCTCTGAAAAATTAAGGTAAAATATATCAATACAGACTTTCAGGCTCTCCAGGTGGAATTGTTGTTTGCAGTTGGGCTTGAATTTTATTGTGAATTTAAAACTGTACCCATCAACTGGTAACATGGGAAATACAGAGACATCAGGGGGCCTAATATATTCTTTACTTGGTTCAGGATTGCACTGGTAGGAAAGGACAGAGCCAAATGGAACAGGGCCAAATTTAGAGTCCACTAGTTTAAGTTCCTTAATTCTGTATAAAAAATTGCATATAGCAGGCTGTGGATGAATGTCAATCAGTTTTTCACCAATGACCAGACATGAGGATCTGGAAGAGGCCCTGACAATCACTGAGAAACACACAGGAGAAAACCAAAAGCAATAATCTTATTGGAAAAACCTGAAGGTAATGAGTTTCCTCATTTTTCTTCATAGACCTGTGACAGCGTATTTGAGACTGTTCTAAAACAACGTATGAAAAAGTCAACATTATACATCAAGAGCATTCCTGCTATGACTCATTGGCTAACAGCTGTGAAACAGATGAGCAATATTTTAAAATGAGCAATATTTTAGTATTATAAAGCTAGCATAGCAACTTAAAGGAGAAATATAAAAATTAATAAATGATAAATGATAAAGGTATTGCTCTACAAAGAACTTGTAAACTTTGCCGAGTTTGGAGGCTGGAGTAGCGGACAGCTTTTGTGCCAGTCTGTGCACATCTCCCAAATTAAATTTGGGTGCATTGGTGAGGGAGTGTGTGAAATCACCACTATCTGAGATACTTGCAATGAAAAACGAAAGTTGAGTGACATCACTGTGAAAAGGGCCTATTGCCATAACGGGCAACATTTGTTGCCTTGTGATGAAAAAATGCACTCTGCCCCAAAGACTGCTAGAAGTACATCAATTTAATCCCCTCAAATCAGAATAAGCCAAACGGAAACTGATTTCTAATTGGCTGGCACCATCCTGCCATTTTTGCTGAGGTCCATGACCTTATTATATAACATAGGCAAGAGAATGAAACATTAATGTTAACATTAGAGCACATCATCAAATTATTATTGCCTAAATTACTCATGTAGATAGAAGTGGTTATCAGTGATTATTTTCTTAATCTACACAATTATAGGCCTAATTCTGGCTTTGATAGTATGAGAGGAAGCATTGATTTAGAAATACAAACCATCAGACAGGGCAGTGGTGCAGGGATTAAGAATACAACCCATATACAGAGGCCTTGGTCTTCGACACAGCTGTCAATAGTTAGAATCCTGGCCTGTTGTTGACCTTTGCAATATGTTTCCCCATCTCTCTTATCCCATTTCTTGTCTACCTACTTTCAAAACTAACTAAAATTAAGGAGTGGCAAAATCTCTTTAAAAAAAAGACAAGATGAAGACAGAAATCTCTTTGAAAGTCTTTCCCCGAACTTCTCGGGGAAGGAGAACTGATTTATTTTCAATACAATGTCGTTCAACAAAATCTTCACACACTGGTAAAGAGTCTTCAGAAATCTCACACCCTTTCTGGGGTCTTTTATATTGTATTTTAACATGGAAATATATCTGTGTGCATGCACTAGCATGGAGAGCACAAGCACATGCACAGTGTGTAAAACTATTTGGGGTGTGCGTTTTGTGTTGTCTGGATGGCACCTCATCCATGGCTTGTGCCCTCATGTCCACTTGGAAGTCTGTGCATTTGTGGTGTGTGCATGTACAATCTTTATGTGTTTTGTGAGGATTGATGTGAGCTTCAGGAATAGAATGTTCCTGCCAAAAAACCTGATGCACTTTCCAAGAACCAATGATCAAAGGTCACATATAAACATCTGCACTAAAACTTACCCATCTCTGAGCCAACTTTCTTTTACAGGAAGGCCGCATCTTGCTTCTATCTAATGTGGCAAGTCTACCTTTCTTATCTGAACATTCAGCTCCCTGGTTGTGTGTATAAACCTTTAGTAAAGAATTCGATTTAACCAAACCCAGAATGTTCTAGATCCCATACAACTACAATCTAAAAAAAAAAAATAGTAAAGATATAAACCATCAGCCATAATCATTCTGAAAACAAACACATTTATTTTATTGATCTGATGTATTTGTTCATCTATTGATCCATCATAATTGTCCATCTTTACCCTTTGTTTATTATTTTCTTAGCTATAATTATTTGTATTGTTAAAAATAGTCCTACTGATTTGAATAGTCTTTCAGTGAATGGAACACACACATTGTGTATGCATTTTAATGAACCATGGCAACAGTTGTCAAATGGTGAGCATGATGCATGTCCTGTTCTTGTGTCTGTAACTTTTCCTTCATGACTCTTAGAATCCTTGTATATGGCAATAAGCCTCCAGGCTGGAGAAGAGGACATACAGGAACCAAAGCCCAAAAAAGAGAAGTGACGTGAGGATTTTAGAAATCCGTGGGCCCCCAAGTTCACCTCCGATAGACGGTCTTCTGCGTAGCATCAGTACTCCCATACAAAAAAATGCAAAAATAGTAAAGAGTGTGACAGAGAAGGCCAAGGAACCAGGGTCAACTTGGAAGACCTTCCCTTTCACTTCCCAGTACACTGCAGCCACGGACCAGGCCAACCCTATACCCAAAAACACATTCACTGCGTTGCTTCCTGTCACATTTCCCACACATGCATCTGCATACTGGTCTTGAGTGGCAGCCACTTTACTTGCAAAGGTGTCTAAAACAGAAAGAAAAAGGTAGAAAGTATTAATGAAATCATTTAATACTGTTGTGTTTATGCTTTTCCATATGGAACACAAGAACACACTTAAAGAGATTATTCAGAATCTTTAAAAGAGCTTCTATAAAAAAAAACAAAAACACATCCAGCACTTCTTTAAAGCTTTACTGTCTCTAGTAT